GTAATAAAAGATTTTGTAATAAAAAAAGGGGAGTTATTTGTGCTGGACCCTGTATTTACCCTTCTCCTCAATCCTTTACAATTACTAGAACTTTCTTCTTGACTATATTGATAGCTATATACAGGTAATAATTCTTTCCACCCCCTCTCTCCCTTGCTACTAATTTTTATTAGAATGTTTCAGTTTGTTATTAAGTTCTCCCACTAGATATTTCTACAGTGGTTCAGAAGATGTAATTTCTCAGATATACTTTCTATAGGAAAAAACATTTATTTGTAGGAATTAAAGAATGTGGTCTCCTTTACTCATGTAGGGTCCCTCTACTTTGACAAATGGAGTCACTTGTTGTTTATGAATATTTCATAGATCATATAGATCCAAACATAGATTAGCAAAAAAGAGGTTCCCTCCTCTAATGCTCTGAATATACCTTTCTTTTCTTCTTCTGAGCAAAAAGACAAGGTTAGGTGCCTGATTACATTTTATTGTGCAGGCACTCTTTGTTTATTTGCACCTCTCTTTAGTGCACTTCACAGGTGTTGGGTTTTCTATAAACTGAAGTCAAGACCTTCCACCAGCTAAAAGATTAAGACTTGCTTTAAAATTGAGACCGACTCATAGAGAGCAGGCTGACAGCTATGGAGGGGGGAGGTGAAGGGGTGGAGGGATCAAGCAAAAAGGAAGGAGGGCTCACGGACATGGACAACAGTGTGGTGATTGCGGGCGGGGTGGGGAAGGAGGGTATAAGGTGGATAAATGCTAATGGACAAAACACAATACAAATATTTTTTTAAAAAAGACTTGCTTTATTGTGATGCTTGCTTCATTACTATGTTCTGGAACCAAACATGCAATATCCCCAAGGTATGCTTGTAGTGTAATAAAATTTCAAAATACAAATAGATGCAGCTGAGATGCCTCTTACTGCTCTTTCAGTTTGGTTCATGCTGGAAATACTCTTTCCCAACTTTGCTGCCCTGAGTGTCACTCCAGACAGTGCTTGTCTTCTTGGTTTATTAGCTCCTGTCTTCAGACGTTGATGACTTCTCCCAACTGTGTTCTTCAACTGGGCCCTAATCTTTGCTCCTGCATATTAGAACGCCTCTTCTCTCTTCTCTGATTCCTGTTTCTGTTTTCCTTTTCCAAATGCCATACTGATGTCACCTTTCTAGCTTTATATAGCTTACCTTATTCTTAGAGCTATTCATTTACAATCTTTAAATGGGGTCTTCTGGCACTTTTAAACTCCAAAATTAAAGATAACAAAAATATTTACATCTCGGTTTTAAAAATTATATAAATAAGTTAATAATACACTGTAGATACCTTTGCAAACCTAAATTAGATCCTATAACTCAAAGGCAAGAGAGCCTTTCCAGTCACTCTAAAAGACCTCTACCAATAAAATGGTGTGAAATCTTCTGGGCTCTGTAGCTTCTTCTCCATAGGATCTTTCTCTTTGGTTCCAATTCCACTAAATCCTCATCTATCACATTATCTACTGTAAGGATATATTATAATAAAGAACCCCGTTTTCTCACCAGTGACCTAGAGCAGTGCTTCTCACATGTTATATGAATATGAATCTCCTTTGGATGTTCAGAAAATTCAGATTTTAATTCAACAGGTCTGGGTGGAGCCCAAGATTCTGAATTTGCAACAAGCTCTTAGGTGGTGCTGATACTGTTGGTCCAGGGAAGCACATAGGGACTTCTTGGCAGTTTTGGTGTTTTATCAACACCAAATGTTTTATCAACAAAGTTTTCTCTGTGCTTGCTACTATGTTCCCAAATTAACTCTCAACCAATTGCTGAATTAAGATTAGGCCAACAACCTCCATTATCGATGTTGGTTCTCCAACTGCACTTTAAAATTTTGTTTTTTCATTTTGTCAGTTAGTCTTTCTCGTTTCTGGCGGGTTACTGGTACTTAAATCAGCACCGTGTGTCACATGCTTCAACTCTTGGTCCTTAATCGTTCCTTCAGAACAATTCATGTGCAACAATGTCATGTTCTTGTTCATTTTTTTAAAGTTTGCTTTTCTTTATAATACATTGTCTTCTTTTAGCTCTTTTAACACTTTCACTGTTTTTGGATTTATCAGATATGATGGAATTAAGAATGTTTATAAAACATCTCAAAACAAAGCTCTATGCCCAAGATTGAAAAACAAGTGATCAAGACAAAAATGTACACAAGTAAAACTATTTTTAAATGATAGGCAGAGTCTTTTTGCTCTGATTTGGTGCTGCTTTGTTGGAATCTATAAAATTTAGTAAATTGAAAGCTTATCAGTGGAGGAGTTTATTTTATTGAATAAAATAAAGATTTCTTATTTCCCAGTATGAGAGGCATCTGTCTCTATAGATTCGGTCATTTGATCACACTCATCCTGTTGTTTCTGGGAGGTAGAGGAAGGCTCAATAAATAGTACCCCTCTCTTTCACTTGTCTGAATCAACTCAGAAATAAGACAAGAGCATCGCTGTAAAATGGCTGAAACATACTTTTATTTCTGGTAAGGGTGATAAAGCACACAGCTTATATTCATGGGTGAGCAGAACTCCTATTACTAAAACTTAGGTTCGGACTTCTCTACCCAGGCACAGTAAGCACAGCAGCCTCCTCCCGTGGCAGCCTAACTTTGTAGTGAGTGCTCTTTGCTGGGAGTTTGCACCCAAGGAAAAGAAGAGAGTATGAGCCCTTATTCCCTAGTCAGCAGTCACCTGTCCTCCACCAGGAAAGGCCCAGAGTATTAGACTAGTAGAGGGGCCTCCTCCACGGAGAAAACATCAAGGGGGATGAAGAGGTGTTCTCCTTAACCATAAACTGGGTACTCTATCTTACTTAATTCCAGACAAGCCAATCAACAATGGTACATAAGTTTCCACTATGCACCATTCACTGTTTTAGGTACTGGGGACACAGAGATCAATAAAACAGAATTAAATCTTGATAGACAGGGCAGTTTACATTAGTGTCTGTACTTGTGCAGCTTGCCTCCCTCACTTCATCTAATTCTAATCTTGTCAAGTCCCGTCTTTACTTAAAATTTGGTATTTTGTATTTCACAGATTTTTTTCAACTAATTTCAAAAATTTTAAATATTGCATTAGAATATTATTCATTTTGATTACTGAGCTTTTCGGCTACCCCTTAAATTTTGCAACTGAGATGAATACCTTACCTGCCTCACCCTAGTCTCAACCCTGGTTTAAAAATAAATGTGTAAATAAATAAACAAATAACTTTAAAAAATTAAACAACTATTAAATAAATGATCAGATAGTGATATATACTAAGTTGAGAAACAGGGTGTGTGATAGGAAGAGATTGGGTGGATAACTTGAATGGTCAGGGAAGACTATCTAAGGAGATGGTATTTAAACTCAGACCTGAATGCCATGAACAAACCAGCCCTGGACAGTTTGGAGAAAAGCTTGTGAAAATGCCTCAAAATAAAAATGAACCTGGAATTTGCAAGGAACACACACACACACACACACACACACACACACACACACACAGGGTCAGTGTGGCTTGAACATCAAGGGCCTGATAGGTGAATAGTACTTGCTTTGGATAAAGTATCAGGAAGGGTTCAAATTTTAGGAGTTTGTAAGCCAAATAGTGAGTTTGAATTTTATGCTAAGTACACAGAAAGCAATGGAAGGATGTTAAGCAGGAGAGCAACATGATCTGATTGCTCTTTTAAATAATTTTGTTTGGCTGCTGTATCAAAGGTGTATTAGAGGGGTGTGGGTGGCTAAAGAGTAAAATCAGGAGAGCTGTCAATGTTCCTGGTGAAATATGGTGGTACTTTAGACTACCGTAATGATAGTGAAGATGGAGAAAGGGGAGCAGATTCCAGCATTACTTCGGAAATAAAGCTGATTAGACTTGATGGAGTAATGCAGAGGATGAGGAAAGGAGAGGAAGTAGCGTTGATTTCAGGTAGTTTAACTGCAGCAACTTTGTGGATAGAGGTGCTGTTTACCGAAATGTTCAAGACTGGGGGATGCGCAGTTTAGGAGGTGAGTATGCAATCAAATTTTCAATGTTAAGTATGTTGGGCTTGAGATGCCTATTAGATACATGGGTAAACAACTGGTATGAATTGAAGGAGGGGAGGGAGGACAGGGATGAATATGGAGATTTTGGTGTCATCTGTGCATTGACATAATTTACAGGATAATCCAGGCAGAGAGCATAAATGGAGATGAGCAGGGGGCTGGAGATGGAGCCTTCGGAGCCTTCGGAGCCTTCGGAGCCGCTGTTGAAATAGGAGTGGAGACGACGGAAGAGCGGAAGTACGATGTTCTTGAAGTTAAGAAAGGATGGGTCTTAAGAATGGAGCAAGGAACTGCATTGAAAGCTGCTGTGAAATCGACCAAAAAAACCCCAAAACGAAAAAAACAAAAAATCAGGGCAGATAAGTAGCAAACGGTATAGGCACATGGTGGTCACTATTGGCCAGACAAAGCAATCTCCTTCCGTGTATAGTGCACAAAAGCCTGACAGGGTAGGCTGAAGAGAGAATAGAAAGTAAGGATATCGAAACAGTTGATTCTTATTGCCACTTTATAAATGAAGAAACGGAGGCGCAGATGGTTAAGGGTCTCATCCAAGGTCAATTCCTGTGGAGTCAGACCTTTGACCCAGGGTCCATCTAACAATTTCTTACAAGGAGGTGTACGCTTTGCAGGAATTTATCCCGCTCTCCTCCAAACCATAAAAATCAGCGTTGCACTCAAAGGAGCCCTCAGCTTAAAACATTCTTTCTCGATAGCACTTCCATTTTAAAGAGAAAATCGAGCCGGCCCAAATTGGGCTAGAGAACGGGATCCGAGCCTCTCGTTTTTCCTGTCGGGAGGGAAGAACCGCCCCTTATCTGCAGTCCGAGCCGGGCACGGCCCACTGCGGCTGCGCGGGCCGGGGCCGGGCGGGGCGAGAGCGCGCGAGCCCGGACGAAACGCGGAAGGGGCTGCGGCGCGGGGACGTAAGCCGGGCCGGGGGCGGGGCAGGCTGCAAGAGTGTGGAGCGCGCGGGTGACAGGTGCGCGGAGCCGAGGGTAGCGGCGGAGGTCTGTGACCTGACGGGAAGAGACAAGGTGGCGGCGATGCTGGAGACCCTGCGCGAGCGGCTGCTGAGCGTGCAGCAGGATTTCACCTCCGGGTGGGTATACGGTGGGGACGGAAAGGGAGCGCTGGGGCGCCTGGGCCGGGTGGAGGAGCTAGGCATCAGCCCGGGACACCGCCTCCTTCCCCTCCCGCACCCTGGTCAAGTCCTGTCTTGTGCCTCCCGTCTGCTCTTCGCTGAGGAAAGTAACGAACTTTCCGGCGTTGGCCGGGCGACACAAAGTAACTTAGGTCCCAACGGACTGGCTCTGATTCGCGCCTTGGGGGCCGGGGTGCTGTGGAGCGACCCGGCGTGCGCATGGGGCACACGGTACCCCCTTCACGGCGACACCCGTGGGCGGGAGGATGGGCATCACGTGAGAGGGAGCGCGCCTGCCCCCCGACACTGTGACCCCGCGCCCACTCTGCGCCCTCGGACTCCTCCGGGACACCTGCCCTCTCCGGCCCCACCCGGTGTGGGACCCCCGCTCCCTCCCACATCTCCGGCGGCTCAGCTTTCCCGGTCACGGCCGAGCGGTCTGCGTCCAGTCTCAGCTTGCGCCATAACCCTGGGCAAGCCTTTTTGCCTCTTCCCCTTTTGCTTTCTCTCTCTACGTTTGCCCGGGTTTTAGCGCTTCAGTGAAGAAACTCTTGGGCAAGAGAAACAACAGAACTACAGCAATACTATTAACGCCTAGTGGTTAAGAGCAAAAACCAAGCGCTTCTCAAACTGCTTAGAATTACCTGGGCACCTTTAACAATTGTGATACCTGGGTCGCAGCTCATACCAATTAAGTTATACCGGGAATTGGGTTTTAAAGAGCGCCCCTCCCCCCAGGTAGTGATTTCAGTGTGTGACAAAATCTGGGAATCACAGGTTCTAATCTCTACCGCTTAAGCAAACATTTCTGCAAGTTACTTGAATTGCCTTAGTTTCCACGACCGTACAACGGGGATCAAAGGTTATTGTGAGGATTAATGAATTAACGTGTAAAATGTATGTCACTATTGTTACTCTGTATCCTTTATAACGGACTGGTCATCTTTAGTTCACAAATCCTTTGGAGAATGCTGTGAATACGAGAGCATCTTGAAAATGAGGTTTTAAATGTCTCATGAGAAAGATGTTAGCTAAAATTTTATCTCATGGACTAAAATGTTTATATTGTTTGTCATTTGTGTGCTGAGTAGTAACAACCTGGCACATAGTTGAGCACTTACCTGTAAAGCCTTTTTGATCGTTTTGGTAGTACTCTGAATATTAATTATAGACGCTCTGGGAGTCATTTATTGATGGTATGTGTGCGTGTTTGCATTTGCCCCCCTTTAAATAGTAAGTTCTTTTCATAATGTAAATGACTGCATTGAAAAATTTTGGTGTGATGCTGGAGTGGCCTACTTGTAACGTGAGCATGGCACAGCTCCCTTATCATTACTTCAAGGAATCCCTGAAAGTCCACCCTGTGGTAGTCACTGTAACTCTCCAGTACAGTCATGTGGTTGGTTGCCTCAGAATCCATTCATACACCTGACCTTTGCGTAAGAGAGTTAAACTTACCAAGGAATATGGACTTTGGACCAAACCCACCCTGGGAGAGCTGGATTACCTGACTTTAGGGAGAGGGTTGAGGGGATCTGGTAAGAACTGCATGGAAGCTGACTTCACGAAAGATGCCACAGAGTGGGATTAGTTTGGGATCAGACATCCAGCGAGGGCTTTCATTCCATTTAGGCCCTTTGTTGGCTTTCTCCTTACACAGGTCACTCTCAGCCGACAAACCACTGGACGGCCAGTGTGTGCCTATTACCTGGCAGAAAAATAACTCATTTCCGAGTGATAGCTGTCTTCTGGTTGACTGGAAACTCTAAACTTGGATGTTCACTTTTGTCAGGTTCTCAAATTCCTATACAATTCTTACCAAGAGAAAAACCACTTAATTTATTTTAGTAAACGCTTACATATATAGCTTGAGATTGACTTTTTTTACACAATTGACTATTTTGCCTAGCTAAGAAAAGATGAACTTAAACACAGCACATGTGTATGTTGTCTGAAGGTACTGAGGAATTCAAAGACGAAAGTGACATGGCTCTCACTTCCCCAAATTGTCAAACTGGACCTGGTGTTCCTTTAGAACACTTGGTGGTAACGCCTGTGGAAGCCAGAGCATCTCAAATAATTGGATACTTCAGGGGTTCAGGTTGGCCCAGGGAATCAGTCCGTTAGCAGTGGGAGGCCTGGCCCTTTTCTGAGCTGTTTCAGTGTGGCCAGGGTTGCTTCACAGCCACCGAAAGCAGCATCCTCATCGTGGTGCTCATTTTCAATTTCTGAAAATTTATATAACTGGAGCTTAAGTGTAGGAAAACTTTCTTTTTTAAGCAAAATAAGGTTATTCTTTCTCGTTCTCACAAGAGAATGTCACATTGGTGATTACAGCTTATCTGATGAATACCACGAATTTCTACCTTCCGTTCAAACTGAGAAAGAATGCAACTAAAGATCATTAGTTAAGGGCTGGGTAGAGATTGCTGGTGGCCTGTGGAGGACTATAGGTTGTCCATGGGCTTGTGGCCTTTTTGGTAACTTTTTATTCATAATAACATTATTCAAAATTGAGATAAACCTAGAAGTTATGTCCCTTTCTGACATAAGTGGGTGGCTAGCTGGCCCAAAGGCCACAGAATTGAGGGGATTGGTTCTGGGCCTCACTCTTATCCTCACTTGAGTCCTGATTATATTTAACTTACTCAGAGCTCTTGGGGTCTTTTGGAGGCTGCATGTAGAACATCTGCTTTTAAGGGACTGGCTTAAGCTCTGAGGGGAACTTGTAGACAGATACACTGAAGTGCACACTTCACATCCATCCTGGGCTTTCGTTTTACCTTTGGAGTAAAGACCAAAGGCCTCAGGATTGAAGTATTCAGGCATGCAAAACCCTTCAGGGACCTGAAAATCAGAGTTACTTACGGTTTACAGCTGCCTGGCACTAGCTGGCATTTCCTGTTTGTAATGCTTTGGGTTCTTGTGGCTAGGGATAGAAAATATGTTATTACTAGTCGCTACGAAGACAGTGGGTGTTTGCCCCTCAAAGCCACCTCTGTCCTGACCTTCACCCAGTATACTCATTGTATCTCCTCCCCTCCTATAGTATCAGAACCTGCTCAAAGGAAAGGATCTGTTTGCAGTGTGGTAAAATTGTGAGGTTTTGCCTGAAATGTTGACTCTTCCAGGACTATTCACCTTCATAATAAGCAGAAGGCTATCGCATTATTCAACTTGATCTAGTAGATAGTTGCTGAAGTCCAACCAAGTGCCAGACACTCGACTAGGCACCCACACTGTCCTTTTTCATAGACACTTTTTTCATTTTATTTTTTAAAAAAAGGTTTAAGAGGTCACATGCTCAGTTTTGCATAACCTTTGCTAAGCAGTGTCTATGTATTGAGCTACATCCTAGGGCTGCAAAATTGACTAAAAAGTTTCTGCCCTCCATATGCTCTAGACTGGTGGTGGTATAAAACAAAGACGAGGGAACTGAACGTTAAAGATGCAAGTGGTGTGGTTTGTGAGCCCAGAGGAAAGAGTCATTAATTCAGGTGCATTTGTAGAAGTCTTCAAGGTGGAGATATCTTCTCAATTGAGCCTCGTTGAATAAAGAGGGATTGTGATCGATTTGGTTAAGGATCTTTCAGAGTTGGAAGATAAAGCTGGAAAGGAAGTTTAGTGACTGATAATAGAGATCTTTAATGTTTTGCTAAGTTAGTGCATTTAACAAATATTGATTGACTGTTTTCTCTGTGGCAGGTACTATTCTAGGAGCTGGGATATAGCAGCAAACACACCAGACAGGAAATAATGTCCCTGCGCTCATTCTAGTGGCAGGAGACAACTATCTAGAAGGTCATATGTACTGTTACTAAAAATAAAGCAGGTTAAGAGGATTTGGGAATGCGGTGGTTGCTACTTTTTATAGGATGGTCCTGGCTTATTTTTAGGTTGACTGAATTTTTTGCAAGTTGTTGTGAAGAGGAGCAATATGAGCCTATCTAGATTTCTGGAAGGATAGTTTTGGAGGCAGTGTGACGAGAGGACTTGGATGCGAGGAACAGGGAGATTACTTCGGAGGCTGTCATTATAGGTCAGGTGAGAAAGGATAAGGTAGAGCTGGTAGAAATTTAAAAGAAGAAATGGATAGGACAGGCTCTGGTCAAATTAAACAGTGAGATGTAGGAAATGAAAATGGTGGAGGAATTGAGGATGTTAATTTTGGAGTATCTTAAATGATGTCATTTATCAGCACAAAAGTATTTAGGAATAGTTTTAAGAGAGGAGGATTTGACAGTAAATTTGTTGTGAGATAACTTAACAGCCTGACCTCCAAAAGTTAGTTAGAAATTTAAGAAACACTCAGGAGAGAGGTCAGAATTCAAATGGCATATTTGGGATTAATTAGGATGTTGTCTAAATTTCTTTCCCTTTCCTGAGTCCGTGCAGCTTTGGTGTGAATCTCTCAGGGTTCAGAGATTAGGGGGTCACGTGTACTTTTAAGTGTGACTGATGCTTTTGCGTTTCCCTGACTTGTTTTTAAAAAAGAAAAAAATTGACTATTAATTGGAAAATATAGTAGATTGGATTTGTATTCATAAATAGAATTTAAAGTTGGAATAGTGGAGACATGAATGTGATTAAAAGAATTGAACCTAAATGACAAAATATGCTAATTAATATGTTTTGTGGTGTTTTAAAGCAATCGTCCTCACCTTTTATAATAGCTGATGAAGTTAAATGAGTAGGAAATTGAGGTGCAAATAAATAGAATACCAACAGAGTCATCCCATGACATTGAGTCAGCTAGAGAAAACACATTTTCTGTTCTTCAATCATTGTAGTGCTCTCTGTATCATTCTGTTGATCTACTTTTTAATTTTTTTGTCTAAGCAGTTTTGCTCATCACCTCCATTTCTTAGTAAGATGTGTCCATGTTAGTATTTTCCACAAGGCTTGAAAAAATAAATGTGCTAGTGTCAAATTAAGGTTAAGTCTTTGGGACAATCTCAAAATAAATCACTGAAGCACTATGATGAATTTGAGGTTTAGTGCTTTGAACTTAAAAAGGTGCATTAGTTGCTTTTGGCAGAAAATAATTGTCAGGTGGCTCACTTAATTCTGTACATTAATATATACACACAGCAGCAGTTTGGCTTCCTGGGGGTATGTGGTAATAGGAAGATTAGGAGCAGTGAAAAAGCCTAATGTAGGAACTGGTGCGTGGAGGGACCTTCTCTTTATTTCATGTTGGCCCATTAATGTTAATAGTTTCTTACCTTTCTTAATGGTGATACTTTTTATTTGAATTAGCTCTAGAGTTTATAGAATGCTACCAAAGTCATATTTGGAATTTTATTTAGTTCTTGTGGAAAATTGTTATGGTCAGTATAATATTACTATTTTATGTTTGAGGAAACTGGGGTATTTACACCTAGATCAGTATTTCCTTTTCAGCATGTCTTAACATTGTGGTAGATTAAATAGACTTTATTGGTGGATTATTTCCAGCATAGGATCCCTGTGAGAAACTTAAGTAGAGCTATGCCAAAATAAAAATGTTAAGCTATTTTCAGTTGAATTCTTGCTGTAGAATGTTTTTTAGAAAGAACTTTTTTGCTTTTTTTTGTTACTAGTTAAATATATCTGACCTCATATATTTTTCAACTTAAAATAAGAATCATTTTAACCCTTCTTTTCCTCCCCTGATCTTTATTGACTGTTTCTCATTTCCTTCTATTTACTTTGTTTTCTCTAACAGTTTCTGTTCTGAATTTTGACACATTGGCAATTTATATGGAAAAGCTGTGCTGAGAAAAATGAGTTATCTAAAAGACTGTTTTGGTTAAAAAATTCTTTTTACAAAGTTTCAGAATAACAGAATAACACAGTGAACCCCTTATATCCATTGTTCAGATTCAGCAATTATCAACTATTGCCACAGTTGCTTTGCCTTCTCCCCTTATTCATAAATTTCAGATTTGTCTATTATTATCTCTCATGCATCAGTTTGCATCTCTAAAAAATATAGGTATTACATAAATACAATGCCAGTATCATACCTCATAAAATGAACACTGATTCTTTGATAGTATCAATTATCCAGTCCATAATCAGATTTCCTGGTTCTTAGAAAGTCTCTTTACAGTTGATTTGTTTAAATCCAGATCAGATAAATTCTACACATTACATTTGGTTAAAGACCAATTTTTAAAGCAGATGGTTGTTGAGGAACCACATGGGGAAGCTGTCATTGATTCTTTCAACAATTTTATTTCAGCTCCATATAACAGTCTCTCTTTCTCTGTAATTCCCAACTAATTTTTTTCTTTTTTGAGGAGGGGTGGGGATGGAGAAGGGAGGAGAATTCCAAAGTTGATATGTTACAAATGAGAAATTAAAAGTTATTTTATTTTTAAAGTGATTTTATTGAATCCTAACATTACATGGTAATCTGAAGTTCTGCACTTTTAAAGATATCTAGAATATTAACATGACCGGGACTAATAGTTAACCTTATACAATAAATTGAATAGTGCAGGAAAGCATTTTATTAAAGTACAAGTGAAGAAAAGATGTGACATTCAAAATGACTTACTTTGATTGATAAAGTAGTACCACGTTCAGTTTATAGGAAATGCTTGAGTTTAATATGACCAAAAGTAAAAGAAATAATAATGGCAGTAATGATTATTTCTCATTTCTTTGTGCAGTATTTCAGACTTGTGGTTTGTTCTCTCTCTTTTGTTATAGATAGAGGTATATAGATAGCTAGAGATATTTTATTTTGTACTGCCAAAGTAGCCAATCTGCTTAACTTTTCGCCCCAACATTTGTATGTTTTACCTAACAGACTTGTACTACTTTATTATTTTTTTCTTAAAGTATACTCATTATACAATACTATTGGCTTCAGGTGTACAACATAGCGATTCAACATTTGTATGTCTTATGATGTGCTCACCACACTGAGTTTAGTATTTGTCCATCTAGTAATCAACTGTGTAAAGTTATCACATTATTAACTATATTCCCCTTCACTTTTTTCACCATTCCTCCCTCCCCTCTGGCAACCATCAGTTCTTCGTTTCTCTAAGTCTGTTTTTGTTTAATTTTGTTTCTTCGTTTTTGTTTTTTTTTAACTCCACATATAAGTGAAATCATGAGATGTTTGTCATTCTCTGTCTCATTTAGTTCTGAAAGGTTATTTTAGAAAAAAAATATTTGAAATACCAACCTAGATATATGTGAGATCACATAAGGGTGGTTGAAAGGATTTTAGCAGTTCCCTTTCAATATCCTTGTAACAGCTAACCATATGCAATCTTCTTGAATCACTAAAAGTAATACTAAAATAATTTTGAGTGCAATGCACTGCTGTGTAGACTATCTAGAATAATTCTACTTGGGATGTCAAAACTGAATGTTTTTCTCAAACTTTGGAGTAGAAATGGTAGAACATAGCCATCAAAATACCTTTCCCTAGTTGTTGCTTAATCTGCTTTAAACCAGATTTACTGGTTTCCAAGATATACTTGGAAGGTCTTATTGTTTCTCTAGGACAGGTTAGACTTCTTCAATACAATTTCTTAGACTCATCTGGAGATATACACAAATTAGTTTGTATTGAAGAGATTATTTAGTCTTTTAAACATTGTAGATAAATCAATCTCATTGATGTTTTAATTTTTGAAGAAGTACATAGAGTAATATAAAAATCATTGTATGAAATTGGCATTCCAATTTGTTGAAGTCATTTAATCAGAAGTTCCCTTCTGGTGTTTAGCCAGGCATCATTGACAGAAAAGGTGGAATCCTGTGTCAGGGTTTGCATATATTGTTGAGCAGATTGTACACTGCACAACACAGGGTTGGGACATTTGTATAAGAGTCAACTTGTGTATTAGGACAGCTTCTGGCTGATGGCAGTTAAGGTGTCTTGAGGAAGGAACACATTTCTGTTTTTACAAAGGCTGTGTAGGGGCTAGCAGTGGTACTATGGCCTATGCTTCAGACTTCAATTAGAGATGAGTATTTGTTGAAGTAATCAAGAAAAGCATGTACAGCAATATCTCACATGAGATGCTATCATAATCTAGCACTTGCTTTTTGGCAACCTCAATAATATAGTATGGAGTCCGCAGCCAAAAGAAGGTCACGGTGGGCCAGTGAAGTGAAATAAATGATACCAAGTTTATGAACTTAATATTTTATATATAGAAAATCCTATTTCATTATATGTATGCATTTATGGCCCATTTATATGTTTTCCAGCATATATTTTCCATATTCTGTTTTCCCCCTTCTACTTTCTTTAAAAGAACTGAATAGAAGGGGAAGAAGATATATAGTTAAGTAGCTCACAGGAGCAGTAAGTGATAGCTGATAAACAGATGGCCAGTGGTGGAGATGGAAATTTTAAATTTAGAATAAAATAGATTCAGGATTGCAAATAAACTTAAAAAACTAGTCTAGATTGGTATCAAGCTGGTAAATGAAGAGGCATTCCTAGCTAGGAAACATGTGAGGAGAGTACTGTTTTGCCACAAAAATGCAGTCAGTGGTAGTCATAAATTATGACCTGGAGTTTATGAAAGTGTTAGATAAAATATACCATGTTCTCTTTTAATACCTTTTAGAAAGCTTTTTATGAGTAGCTAAAATTTCACCAAATGTTGGTACTTCCAGATTTGAGTGTCTGGTATAGTATTTATTTAATAATATATACTGCTCAGGTAGCTTTGTTAAACCTACCAAGTTCACCTATGTGGACTTCTTTTTCTCATTATGCCAGATAAATGAGGTTCCTCTAGTCTGATCACATTTAGGAATTGTTTCTAAAAAAGAGAATTTGAGACAAAAAATAGAAAAATATTTGCTACAAGTTTTTCATTTGTAGTGTTTCACATACAGTAAAGTGTAAGACTGTGTTTTTATTATATACTACTTAAAATATTTGCTACAGATTTTTTATTTGGGTTAACTAACAAATAGTAAGCACTGTATGTTTTCATAAATATTTTTCTTTCAGAAATGCTTATTTCTTTTTAAAAAATTTAGCTCATCTGTGCCAAATATGAATAGCTGTGAACTTTACTGTTGAAAAATTTCTTGACCTCTAAGAATATTTTATACTTGTTTAATTATAGGTTGAAGACTTTAAGTGACAAATCAAGAGAGGCTAAAGTAAAAAGCAAACCAAGGTAAGTATAGGGCAAGATTTAATTTACTGTGACTTAAATTTCATCCAACATTTGGTTGTAGTCATAATAGTAAAATTACTTCACTGGGTTTTAGATCTGTTAAGGGCATCTGATTATAAAACAGTTTATTGATTCTTTCTAAATTTTGTAACACTGGAAAAATTTTTGACAAAATTCAAAAATTGTTGGAAAAATGATGTAAAAAAGTGTAATTGTTTTATTCTGACAATCAGTGGTTGTTGTTCAATCACAATCATTTTTATTTGTATACGATAGAGCAAATCAAAGTAAATTAAAAATCCTGCATTATTAAGAAGCACATTAATAATGGAACAGTATTTGCAAGCAAGCCTCTTTAGCCCTGATATGTTTTATATGAAAACACTGGTATCAGTTTTTAAATAATGTTTCATTGTTTATGCTGTTACAGTTGTACCCGTTTTTTCCTCCTTTGGCCCCCTCTGCCCGTCTCCCCCGCCCAACTTCTGTTGTGCATCCCCTTACTGTTGTCCATTCCCATGGGTCCTTCATATATGTTCTTTGACTACTTAATCCCTTCACCTTTTTTCAGACAGTTCCCCCTTTCCCGCCTCCCCTCTTACCACTGTCAGTCTGTTGCATTACTCTATGCCTGTGGTTCTCTTTTGCTCATTAGTTTATTTTGCTCATTTGAGTCCTCTTCTATGTGAGATCACATGGTATTTGTCTTTCACCGACTGGCTTATTTCACTTAGCATAATAGTCTCCAGTCCTGTACATGCTGACGCAAAAGATAGGAATTCCCTCTTTTTATCCTGCTGAGTAATATTCCATTGTGTAAATGTACCATAGTTTTTTAATCCACTCATCTATTTATGGGCTTTTAGCCTGTTTCCAGTTCTTGGCTATTGAAAATAGCACTGCTATGAACATAGGGGTGCCTATATTCTTTTGAGTTGGTGTTCTGGGATTCTTTGGCTATATTCCAGCAGTGGAATCACTGGGTCAAAAGACAGTTCCATTTTTAATTTTTTGAGGAAATTCCATACTGTTTCCCACAGTGGCTGCACCATTCTGCATTCCCACCAACAGCCCACAAGGGTTCCCTTTTCTCTGCATCCTTGCCAGCACTTGTTGTTTGTTGATTTATTAATGATAACCATTTTGGCAAGTGTAAAGTGGTCTCATTTTAGTTTTAATTTGCATCTCTCTGATAGCCAGTGATGTTGAGCATTTTTTCATATGCCTATGGACCATCTCTATGTCCTCCTTGGACAGGTCTGTTCAGGTCCTTTGCCCATTTTTAGATCGGGTTGTTTGTCTTCTTGGTGTTGAGTTGTATGAGATCTTTATATATTTGGAGATTAAACCCTTGTCTGATGTGTCATTGGCAAATATGTTCTCCCATAGAGTCTGTTCCCTTTTCATTTTGCTGATGTTTTCTTTAGCCATGCAGAAGCTTTTTAATTTGATGTATTTCCATTTATTTTTTCCTGTATTTCCCTTACCCTAGAAGATGTATTAGCAAAAATATTAGTACATGAGATATCTGAAATTTTCCTGCCTATGTTTTCTGCTATAATTTTTATAGTATGACGACTTACAATTAAGTCTTTTATCCATTTTGAGTTTATTCTGGTGTATGGTGAAAACTGGTGGTCTAGTTTCACTTTCTTGCTTGTACCAGTCCAGTTCTCCCAACACCATTTATTGAAGAACCTATTTTTACACCATTGTATGCTTGTGCCCGTCTTGCCAAATATTAGTTGACCATAAAGACCAGGCTCTCTGGTCTTTCTGGGCTCTCTGTTCTGTTCCATTGATCAATGTGTCTGTTCTTATGCCAGTACTAGACTATTTTGATTACAGTGGCCTTGTAGTATAGTTTAATATCAGGAATTGTAATCCCTCTGACTTTCTTCTTTTTTCTGAAGATTGCTGAGGCTGTTTGAGGTTTTTTTTGGTTCCATTAAATTTTTGGAATATTTGTTCTAGATTTGTGAAGTATGCCATTGGTATTTTAATAAGAATTGTGTTGACTGTATAGTTTGCTTTGGGTAGTATGGACATTTTAATGATGTTAATTCTTCCAATCCATGAACAGGGTATATGCTTCCATTTATTTATATCTTCCTCAGTTTCTTCAGTGTTCTATAGTTTTCTGAGGACAGGTCTTTACCTCCTTGTTTAAATTTATTTCTAGGTACTTTATTATTTTTTTGTTGCCCTGGTATATGGGATTTTTCCCTGTGGTTTCTCTTTCTGATAGTTCATTATTGGTGTACAAAAATACCATCGACTTCTCAATATTGACTTTGTATCCCACTACTTTACTGAATTCACTTATTAGGTCAGGTAGTTTTTTGGTGGAGCTTAATAGGGTTTTCTATGTATAGTATAATGTCATCTACGAATAATGACAGTTTTACTTCCTCCCTTTCAATTTGGATGCCTTGTATTTCTTCTTCTTGCCTGGTTGCTGTGGTTCAGTACTATGTTGAATAAGAGCATGAAAGTGGACACCCTTGTCTTGTTCCTCATCTTAATGGAAATGCTTCTAGTTTTTGCCCATTGAGTGTGATATTGGTAGTAGGTTTTTCATATATGGCCTGAGTGTTTTTATCATAAATCGGTGCTGGATATTTTGTCTTTGTCTCATTTTGTCTTTTGTCTCTGCTTTGAAGTCTATTTTGTCTGCTGTAAGTATTGCTACCCCAGGTTTTTTTCATGTCCCTTTGCATGAAATAATTTTTTCTACGCCTTCATTTTCACTCTGTGTAGATCTTTTGTTCTGAGGTGGGTCTCTTGTAGACACCATATATGTGCGTTATGTTTTCATATCAAGTTCTTTTTCTGCATCTGCTGATAAGACTGTGTTTTTTGTCTTTCATTTTGTTTATGTGATGATTACATTTATTGATTTGCGAATATTGTGCTGTCCTTGCATCCCCGGAATAAATTCCACTTGATCATGGTGTATGATCATTTTAATGTATTGCCAGATCCAGTTTGCTAATATTTTGTTGAGCATTTTAGCATCTATGTTTGTCAGACATATTGGCCTGTAAGTTTATTGTTGAGTCTTTACCTGGTTTTAGAATTAGAATAATACTGGTCTCATAAAAAGAGTTTGAGAGTTTTCCCTCTTCTTAAATTTTTTGGAATAGTTTAAGAAGAAAAGGTGTCAGTTCTTCTTGGAACGTTTGGTAAAATTTGCCTGTGAAGCCATCTGGTCCAAGGCTTTTGTGGTCCAGGAGGTTTTGGGGTTTTTTGTTTTTATTACTGCTTCAATTTCATTAGTTGTTATTAGTTTATTCAGTTTTCTGCTTCTTCCTGATTAACTTTTGGAATGCTGTATTTTTCTAGAAATACAAATTATCCATTTCACCCAGGTTGTTCAATTTCTTGGCATGTAGTTGTTCATAGTAATTTCTTAACATCCTTTCCATTTTTCTGGTATTAGTTGTTACTTCTACTCTTTCATTTCTGATTTTATTTATTTTGGTCTTCTCTCTTTTTCTTGATGAGTCTGGTTAAAGGTTTGTCAATTTCTGTTTATCTTTTTAAAGGACCAGTTCGTGGATTTATTGATCTTCTGAATTGTTTTTTCAGTCTCTGTGTCATTTAATTCTGCTCTGATCTTGATTGTTTCGTTCCTTCTGTTCCACCTGGGCTTTGTTTGTTGTACCTCTGGTTCTTTTAGGTCTAGGGTTAGGTTGTTTATTTGAGATTTTTCTATCTTCTTTAAGTAGGCCTGTATTGCTATGAACTTCCGTCTCAGGACTGCCTTTTCTGTGTCCCATAGGTTTTGTGTTGTGTGTTCATTTTCATTTATTTCCAGATACTTTTTGATTTCTTCCTTGAAATCACCAGTAACCCATTCATTATTTAATAAGTTGTTATTCCGCCTCCATGTATTTGAGTGTTTTTGAGTTTTTTCTTTGATGTTGGTTTCTAGTTTCAAGCCATTGTGATCCGAGAAGATGCGGATATGATTTCAGTTTTCTTGAATTTTTTAAGGCTTGTTTTGTATTTTACCATGTGAACTGTCTTTGAAAATGATCCATGCAGGTTTGAGGAGAATGTATATTTTCCTTCTTTGGGGTGGAATGTTCTGTAAATATAAATTAGGTCCATTTGTTCTAGAGTGTTGTTTAATGCTACAATATCCTTGATTTTTTATATGGAAGATCTATCCATAGTTGAGAGTAGGGTGTTATAATCCCCTACAATGACTGTGTATTGCTATCAATCTTTATTAAAGTCCTCCAAGATTTTCTTTATAATTTAGGTGCTTCTATATTGGGTGCATATATGTTTACAAGGGTTATATCCTCTTGTTGGACTACTCCCTTCAGTATTATATAGTGACCTTCTTTGTCTCTTATTATGGCATTTGTTTTGAAATCTATTTTGTCAGATATAAGTATTGCTACCCCATTTTTTTTATCATGTCCCTTTGCATGGAATAATTTTTTCCATTCCTTCACTTCAGTCTGTGTAGATCTTTTGTTCTGAGATGGGTCTCTTGTAGACAGCATATATGCAAGTCATGTTTTCTTATCCATTCAGCTACCCTATGTATTTTAATGGGAGCATTTAATCCATTTACATTTAAGGTTACTATTGATAGGTACTTACTTGTTGCCATTTTATCCCTTTGTACCTGTGTTCCTCTCTTGCTCCATTTCTTCTACATAAGGCAGGGGTTTTTTGTTTTTTTTTTTTTTGTTTTGTTTTTAGGATGTCTTACAATGCTGGTTTGGTGCAGCTCATTTAGACTTTTTCTTTAATCTGGCAAGTGCTTTATTTTGCCTTCCATTTTAAATGAGAGCCTTGCTGGACAAAGAAGTCTTGGTTGCAGGTCCTGGCTTTTCATTACTTGGAATATTTCATGCTAGTCCCTTCTGGCTGTAGTGTTTCTGTTGAGAAAACAGCTGATAAGCCTTATTGAAGCTTCCTTGTATGTTACTAGCTGTTTCTCCCTTGCTGCCTTTAAGATTCTCTTTTTGTCTTTAAATTTTACCATTTAATTGTGATGTGTGTTGGAGTGGGCCTCTTTGGGTTCATCTTGCTTGGGACTCTCTGTGCTTCCTGAACTTCTTCCTTCACCAAGTTAGGAAAGTTTTTTGTCATTAATCTTTAAACAGGTTTTCTATCCCTTGCTCCCTTTTTTCCTCCTTCTGGAATCCCTGTGATGTGACTGTTGTTACATTTCATGGTGTCCCAAAGCTTCCTTAAACTACCCTCGTTCTTTTTGAGTCTTTTTTCTTTTTGTTGCGCTAACTGGCTGCTTTTTTCTACCTTGTCTTCCAACTCACTGATTCGATCCTCTGCTTCATCTAGTCTGTTTTTAAATCCATTTACTGTATTCGTCATTTCAGATACTTCATTCTTCATTTCCACCTGGTCTTGATCATAGTTTTTATGTCCTTTTTCATGGTGATGTAGTTCTCACTAAGTTCCTTGTAGCTTCCATAAAGTTCCTTGTAGTTCTCACTAAATTCCTCATGCATCCTTATAGCCATTATTTTGAACTCTGTCTCTAAATTGCTTGCCTCTATTTCATTTACCTCCTTTTCTGGGGATTCCTCCCTTCCTTTCAATTGGGGGTTGTTTCTTTGTTTCCCCATTTTAGGTGACTCTTTGTTTCTGTGTATTAGATTGATCTGGTTTGACTTCCTTTCTTTGTGGGGTGGCCTTCTCTGGTAGGAATCCTGTGAAACTTAGTGGTGCAGTCTTCTTGATCTCTTGAGCTGGATGCTCTAGGGATGGCCTTTATACAGTTTATGTGAGCTCTTCTGTTGTATTTGGATCTTGATTGTTGGCTCATGCATTGGTGGGTCCTCCCCTTTGGCTGGCTGACAGACTCTCAACCCCTCATGTCTTGTGTGCTGTATTTGTATAGGTGCATAAAGCTGGAAAGAGAGTAAGATATAATAAGAAAGAAAAAATGTGATTAAAGGAAAAACATAATTTTGAGAGGATAGAGGGAGGAGAAACAGTAAGAGTAAAGAATGTAAACAAGGAGGAGAAAGGGAAGAATAAAATTTAAAATGAAAATAAGAAAGAGAAGGAGGAAGGAAAATGGAGTAAGAAAAGGGAAGAGTAGAATATAAGATTTGCAGTAAGAAATACTGAAAAAATAGGAATTAAATTGAAGAAAAGGAAAAAAGTATTTAAAAACTATGCAAAAGAAAAAACACAAATAGTGAAAAAGATTGAGGTGGAAGTTGTCCCAGCAGAGTTTAGTACTTGTCTTCTGGCTTCTCCTTCTGGACACTCCTCTAGTGTTCTGCAGCTGGTGTAAGCCAATGTCAGATGCTTTCTTTGTCTAGCTCTAGGCAGCCTGTTTGGAGCTAAAAGCAGTTCACATTCTGTGCTGTCTCCTTCATGGTTGGCTGCATCCAGGGTGGTCCTCACTGTGCTGCATTGCTTGCTGTTTATCAGCACAAGGCCCAGGGGTGGGTCCACTAATGACTGAAAACACTGCAGGTGCCTCCTCTACCTGCCTCTGTCTGCAGTCTTGCCATTAATCTTAGTCTAGCTGCTGAGCCCTCTGTTTCTGAGAGAGCTTCTCATGGAATTGGGAAGATGGGACTCCTGGATCTCCTGTGGAAGGTGCCATTCAGACTTCAGGGAAGATGGTGGATGTGTTCATACACCTGAGTCTGACCCAGGCTATTTCTGTGAACTCTGCATGGCGAAGCCCCTAGCAGGGTAGCAGATGGGGCCTCCACAGCCCAGAATTTGTGTCTTATGGTGTTCCTAGGCTCTCCTGTGAGAGGGAAGCACCATTCTGGTTCCCAGGAGAGTTTATGGAATTGCTGTGCCCTGAAGTCTGTCTCTCATGCCTGAATCCACCTATGCTGCTGTCTCATTGGCAGGGGATAAGGTGCCGGTTGTGGGAAAGTAATAGAGATGCTGGCTGGGTCAAGCAGGATTTCAAAGGGTGTGTGGCAAGCAAGATTCCAGAGGATGGGGCTGGGAGGCTTTCAGAACCTGGGGTGAGTGAGTTTCCCACAGGGTGGGGTAATTGTTTTTACCCTGGGAGGGGCTTGCTCTTCTCAAAAAAAAATGGCTGGTACAGCATGGTGTTATATCCCAGCACGGGGAACCCAGCAGCAGTTCCCCCATGCATCTCCCTCAAGACTCCCTCCCACTCCTGACTCTCCTCGCCCAAGTGCAGACTGTGCTGCTCTCCCTTCACCTGAGCCAAAGGTGAGTGGCCAGGAATCCTGTGCGTTAGCCCCTTAAAGCAAAAGAAAAGGAGGAAAAAGAGAAAAAAAGATGACTTTCTCTCCAGTGGAATCTGTCTCTTTTCGGCAGGCCAAAACAACAACAGCAACAACAACAACAACAAAAACACATCCATGGCCTTTCACCACTGGATTTTGCATGGGCAGGTGATCCCAACACTGGTGGTCTGTGCTTGGGAGCCCAGTCTGAGGTCCAGGCCTCACTTCTCTCTGGGGGAAGCTCCCTCAGCTGTGCAGCTGTGTCAGCCGCCACCTGTAAAATTGGTGCTCGCTGCTGCCCATAAAAACAGTGCCAGGCCCTTTCAAGTCCCTGCCCTTCCTACTGGTCAAGAGGTGGTTTTCACCCATCCTTGGTTAAGTGTCTCCTCCTCAGATAGTCCTCAGCTGTTTATTTCAGATGGATGTTCCCCTGTTTATTTTTATTTTCAGCTTGGTTCTGGGAGGTGGTGTGAGATAAACTCTCTTACTCCACTGCCATCTTGTCACCAGCTGGTGTCATTTTTTTAATAAAGCATATGCTCAATTTTCACTTTGAAGCTAGAAATGAACTTATTTTTTTAAAAAATCTTTATTTTGCGCTACATTAAAGTGTTTATTGTATTATTATGTCCTGAAAATAATCTATAGGGCAAAGTGATGGTTGATAGAGGTATTATGGTATATTAACTTTGAAATAAAGCAATGCATTTCTCTAAAAGTTTAGTTAAATTGTCATTAGTGATTTCAAAATATTTCACATTACAATTGACAAAGTCAAAATTCTTCTGTGTAACTTTTTTTCCTAAGTAAAATAAGTGTTTCTTTTGGCAGGACTGTTTCATATTTGCCAAAATACTCTGCTGGATTAGAATTACTTAGCAGGTAAGTATTTTCATTTAAATAAGATTATGCTTCTGACTGTTTTATTGTCTAAAGATATTTTTATAATTTTATAGATAGAAACCTTAAACAACTAAATTTGATCTGAACATGGTGATTGGGAATCACCCACTTCTCTGAGGGGCTTTTACTTTTCATAGATTAATACAAAGGCCATTAAGACTGAGCAGATTGATCAATATTGTATTTACTAGTCAATACTTTATTACAGGTATTTATCATGCTTATAGTTTCTTTATCATGCTTATGGTTTCTTTGTCACAAGAAAGTCTTTTTTCTTTAGAACTAATACTGAGTTGAAGAAAAACCATTTTAAATAGCAGATAATCTTTAATTTTTAATTATTAAAAATTATAAAATATACATAACATAAAATTTACTATCTTAACCATTTTTAAGTGTAAAGTTTAGTAGTGTTACGTACATTCACATTGTTGTGCATCTACCTCCAAAACTCTTTTTTATCTGGCAAAACTGAAAGTCTACCTGTTAAACAACAACTCCCCATTGTCCCCTTCCCTTCATAATCACTCACTGACTCATCCAGAGCAATTTCCAGTCCTGCAAACTCCATACATGGTAAGTGCCCTGTTCAGATATACCATTTTAATATTTTATACCATATTTTTAGCATATCTTTTCTGTGTTTAGATATGTTTATCTTTTTAATTTTTTTAAAAGGCTCTTATTTTTTTATTGTTATTCAAGTGCAGTTGTCTCCATTTTCTGATCACCACTTTCCCTTCCCCCACCCACCCCCACCTCCCACCCTCAATCCTAACCCCTTTTTGGCTTTGTCCATGGGTCCTTTATACATGTTCCTAACGACCCTTCCCATTCTTTTCCCCTGTTATTCCCCTCCCCATTCCCCTCTGATTACTCACAGTTTGTTCTTTATTTCAATGTTAGTAATTATATTTTGCTTGCTTGTTTTGTTGATTAGGTTCCACTTAGGTGAGATCGTATGGTATTTGTCTTTCGCCCCCTGGCTTATTTCGCTTAGCATAATGCTCTCCAATTCCATCCATGGCGATTGCAAAGGATAGTAGCTCACTCTTTCTTTGTTTCTTTCTTTCTGCTGCATAGTATTCCACTATGAAAATGTACCATAGCTTTTTGATCCACTCATTTATTGATGGGCACTTAGGTTGCTCCAGCACTTGGCTATTTGTAAATTGTGCTGCTATGAACATTGGGGTACATAGGTTCTTTTGAATTGGTATTCCAGGATTCTTAGGGTATAATCCCAGCAGTGGAATTGCTGGGTCAAAAAGCAGTTCATTTTTATCTTTTTGAGAAAATTTCAAATTGTTTTCCACAGAGGCTGCACTATTCTGCATTCCCACCAACAGTGTCCTAGGGTTCCCTTTTCTCCACAACTGCGCCAGCATTTATTATTTGTTTATGATGGCCATTCTGACTGGTGTGAAGTGGTATCTTATTGTGGTTTTAATTTGCATTTCTCTGATGGCTAGTGATGCTGAACATCCTTTCATATGTCTCTGGGCCCTGTGTATGTCCTTGGAGAAGTGTCTGTTCAGATCCCTTAGTTTTTGCCACTTTTTAATTGGATTGTTTGTCTTCCTGGAATGGAGTCACGTGAGTTCTTTATATATTTTGGAGATCAAACCCCTATCTGATGTATCATTGGCAAATATATTTTGCCATATGGTTGGTTCTCTTTTTATTTTGCTGATGTTTTCTTTAGCTGTGCAGAAGCTTCTTACTTTGATGAAGTCCCACTTGTTTATTCTTTCCTTTATGTCCCTTCCTCTAGGGGAAGTATCAGTGAAAATATTGCTGCGTGGGATATCTGAGAGTTTCCTGCCTATGTTCTCCTCTAGGACTTACATGGTGTCGTGATTTATATTTAAGTCTGTTATCCATCTTGAGTTTATTTTTATGTATGGTGTAAGTTGATGGTCGGATTTCATTTTTTTGCATGTAGCTGTCCAGCTCTCCCAACACCATTTATTGAAGAGGCTATTTTTACTCCATTTTAAGATTCTGCCCCTTTTGTCAAATATTAATTGACAAAATAGAGACATGAGTTTATTTCTGGGCTCACTATTCTTTTTCATTGATCTTTGTGTCTGTTCTTACGCCAGTACCAGATGGTTTGATTACAGTGGCCTTGTAATATAGTTTGATGTCAGGTATAGTGATCCCTCCTACTTTGTTCTTCTTTCTCAAAATTACTGCAGCTATTTGGGGTCGTTTATGGTTCCATATAAATTTCTGAAATATTTGTTCTATATCTGTGAAATAAGCCATTGGTATTTTAATAGGGATTGCATTGAATCTGTAAATTGCTTTGGGTAGTATGTATCCATACTACTGATGATTTTAATGAATTTAATTCTTCCACTCCATGAACACAGTATATGCTTCCATTTATTTGTGTCTTCCTTAATTTCTTTCTTCCGTGTTGTGTGGTTTTCTGAGTATAGGTCTTTTACTTCCTTGGTTAGGTTAATTCCTAGATACTTTATTTTTATTGTTGCTATAGAAAATGAGATTTATTTCCTGTGTTCTGATTCTGATATTCCATTGTTGGTGTACAAAAGTGCCTTTGATTTCTGAATATTGACTTTGTGTCCTGCTATTTTGCCAAATTCACTTATTAGGTTGAGCAGCTTTTGATGGAGTCTACAGGGTTTTCTATGTACACTAACATGCCATCTGCAAACAATGACAATTTTACATCCTCCTTTTCAATTTAGATGTCTTTTATTTCTTTTTCATGTCTGATCACTGTGGCTAGGACTTCCATTACTATATTGAATAGAAGTGGTGAAAGTGGACAACCTTGTCTTGTTCCCAATCTTAGTGGGAAAGCTTTTAGTTTTTGCCCATTGAGTATTTCTCAATGATGTTGACTGTAGGTTTTTCATATATGGCCTTTATTAAGTTGAGGTATGCTCCGCTTATTCTCACTTTGCTGAGTATTTTGATCATAAATGGATGCTGTAGCTTATCAAATGCTTTTTTCTATATCTATGGAAATTATCATGTGATTTTTGTCTTCCCTTTTATGTGATGTGTTATGTTTATTGATTTGCGAATATTGAACCATCCTTGCATCCCTGGGATGAATCCCACTTGATCATGGTCAATGATCCTTTTAAGGTATTGCTGGATGCAGTTTGCCAATATTTTGTTGAAGAGTTTAGCATCTGTGTTCATCAGTGATATTCTCCTGGTTCTTTCTTGGTTGTATCTTTATCTGGTATTGGGATTAAGATGATGCTGACCCATAAAAAGAGTTTGGGAGTCTTCCCTCTTCTTGTGTCTTCTTGGATATATCTGTGAAATAAGTCATTGGTATTTTAATAGGGATTGCGTTGAATCTGTAAATTACTTTCTGGAATAGTAGAGAAGGATAGGGGTTAGCTTTCCCTTAAATGTTTTGTAAAATTCTCTTGTGAAACCATCCTGTCCAGGGCTTTTGTGTGCCGGGAGTTTTTTGATCACTGCTTCAGTTTCACCAGCTGTTACTGGCCTGTTCAGGCTTTCTGCTGCTTCTTCATTCAGTGTTGGAAGATTATATTTTTCTAGAAATTTGTCCATTTCACCCAGGTTTTCAAATTTCTTGGCACATTATTGTTCATAGTAATTTCTTACAGTCCTTTGTATTTCTGTGGTAGCAGTTGTAATTTCTCCTCTTTCATTTCTGGTATTATTTATTTGGGTTCTCTCCCTTTTTTTTCTTGATGAGTCTGCTTAAAGGTTTGTTGATTTTATTTATCTTTCCAAAGAACCAGCTCCTGGGTTTATTCATTCTTTGAATTGTTCTTTTAGTCTCTATGTCATTTAGTTCTGTTCTGATCTTGATTATTTCCTTCCTTCTACTTGCTCTGGGCTTTGTTTTTTGTTGTTTCTCCAGTTCTTGAAGCTGTAGGGTTAGGTCGTTTATTTGAAATGTTTCTATCTTTTTGAAATAGACCTGCATTGCTATGAACTTCCCTCTCAGGACTGCCTTTGCTGTGTCCCATAGGTTTTGGACTATTACATGTTCATTTTCATTTGTTTCCAGAAACTTCTCGATTTCTTCTCTTATCTCATTATTGACCCATTCATTGTTTAGTAGCGTGCTATTCAGTCTCCATGAGTTTGAATGTTTTTGAGTTCTTTCCTTGAGGTTGGTTTCTAGTTTCAAGCCCTAATGGTCCGAGAAAATGCTTGTTATGTTGTCAGTTTTCCTGAGTTTGTTGAGGTTTGTTTTGTGTCCTATCATGTGGTCTATCTTTGAAAATATTCCATGTGCATTTGAAAAGAATGTGTATTTTGCTTCTTTGGGTGAAGGGTTCTATATATGTCAGTTAAGTCCATTTGATCTAATGCATTGTTCAGTTCCACAATATCCTTGTTGATGTTTTGTTTGGAAGATCTATCCATTTTTGACAGTGGGGTGTTAAAATCCCCTGCTATCAGTGTGTTGCTATCTATATCTTTCTTGAAGTCCTCCAAGAATTTCCTTATCTATTTGGGTGCTCCTATGTTGGATGCATGTAGGTTTACAATGTTTATGTCTTCTTGATGGATTCTTTCTTTGAGTATTACGAAGTGTTCTTCTGTGTCTTTTTTTATGTCCTTTGTTCTGAAATGTATTTTGTCTGATATAAGTATTGCCACCCTGGCTTTTTTTCATGTCCATTTGCTTGGAATATTTTTTTTCATCCATTTTCTTTCAGTTTGTGTAGGTCCTTTGTTCTGAGGTGGGTCTCTTGTAGGCAGCATATGTGTGGGTCATGTTTTCTAATCCATTCAGCCACCCTATGTCTCTTGAATAGAGCATTTAATCCATTTACATTTAAAGTTATGATTGAGAGGTACTTTTTGCCCCTTGTACCTGTGTTCCTCTCTTTCTCACTTTTTTTCTTTATCTTCTTAAAGCAGTCCCTTTAGCATATCTTGCAGTGCTGGTTTGGTGGAGGTGTGTTCTTTTAGCTGCCTTTTGTCTGGGAAACTCCTTATTTCACCTTCCATTTTAATTAAGATCTTTGCTGGGTAAAGCAGTCTTTGTTACAGGCCTTTTCTTTTCATTACTTGGAATATTTCTTGCCATTCCCTTCTGGCTTGTGGTGTTTCTGTTGAGAAGTTAGCTGCTAGCTGTATCAGAGCTCTCTTGTGTGTTACTACCTCTTTCTCCCTTGCTGCCTTTAAGACTCTCCCTTTGTCTTTGATATTTGCCATTTTAATTATGATATGTTTTGGAATGGGCCTCTTTGTGTTCCTCTTGAATGGGACGGGATCCTTTATGCTTCCTGGACTTGTGTGACTTTTTCTCTCCTCCTATTAGGGAAGTTTTCCATCATTTTTCAAACAGGTTCTCTCTCCCTTGCTCGTCTCCTTCTTCTGGTATCCCTATTATATGGATGTTATTATGTTTCAACTTCTCCTGCATTTCCCTAAATGTCTCTCCATTCTTTTGGAGTCTTCTTTCATTTTCTTGCTCTTACTGGGACCTTTTTTTTTTTCCTTGTTCTCCAGCTCACTCGTTTGATCCTCTTCTTCATCTAGCTTGCTTTTGATTTCTTCTACTGTGTTCTTCAATTTAGAAATCGTATTCTTCAGTTCCTCTTGCCTCCTGTTGATAGTTTCTATGTCCTTTTTCATGCTGATACAGTTCGCAGTAATTTCCTTGTAGTTTCCCAGTAGTTTCTGGTAATTCTCTCTGAGCTCACTGAGCCCATTGAGCTTCCTTAGAACCATTGTTTTGAACTCAATATGTGATCGTTTACTTGCCTCAATTTCATTTAGTTCTCTTTCTGAGGATTCCTGCTTTCCCGTGGACTAGGGGGTGTTTCTTTGTTTTCCCATTATTTTTGAGACTCTTCTTTTTCACTTCTGCTTCTTAAATTGATCTCTCTTGACTTCCTGAGTTTGTGGTGTGAAAATCTGTGATAGGAGACCTGTGAGATTCAGTGGTGCAGTCTCCTTGATCTCCTGAACTTGCTGCTCTTTGGATGCCTTTTATGCCATTTATATTGGCTCTCTGGAAGTTACTTGGTTTTGATTGTTGTTTGGTCATTCTTTAGTGGGTCCTGCCTTCCAGCTTGTTGACTGAGGTCACTCTGCCCACCACATCGTGAGTGTTTTTGCACAGGTGATGTCAGAACAAAACTACAAAGCCCAGGAAACAAACCTACAGCCACCAAAATAACTCTGTCCTGCAATCCCACTATCAACAGCAAGTGAACCAATATTAATAATGCTGTAAAGAGATTAAGACTATTATAAGAAAGGAGACAAATAAACTATTGGTATAAAATCTAGTTACTTAACATGCATAAACTTGATGGACCCAAAATGGATGTTAAAAAGCTATGTAGTAAAAAAAACATCATAAATCATTGAAAATACCACAGTGGATTTCTTCTTGGTAGCCTCTAGTATTTAACTGCTGTTTTTTCTTTCTGGATCTGCCTCTGATGAAGTCAGATGTTGACCCCGTCTGACGTTAGGCAGTCTTTTCAAGACTTCCAGGAATCTAATGTCTATGCCTGCCTCCTTCAGTTGTTAATACAGTCACGCTGCACTTAGCAGTCAGGCTTAGGCACCACATGGCCAAGGAAGAGTCACTCTTGGGGGCAGGGCTGCTATTTCCTTTCATGATGCTGATGCTCAGGGGAGTGGACTGCCTGAGCAAGATGCTTGCTGTTGTATGGGAGATGAGTCAGCACTGGGATTCTGCTGGCTATTCCCTCAGTTCTCTCCCCAAAGCCTCTGTCCCCAGTCTCTCCTCAGGCGTCTCCAGCCCACTTTGCCCCCGCCTTTGCCAGAGCCCAGGGTAAGTGGCTGCAAACAAAAATCTATTTGTTGACTTGTTAAAAGGCTCTTTGCATTGCCAGCCGCCCATCTCTGGCAGAGAGCAACCCTGCCGCTTTTCTCAGCTGGCTGTTATCTGTGTACTTTCATGGCTCTGGTCCTATAGTCTGAGGGTCCCTGCTTATGGTTTAGACCCTGCTCTTCTCAGGGGGATCCAGCTGGCCATTTAAATATCCCTCTGGTGTTGTCACTTGCAGGTGCCTAACCCCCCTTCTCAAGTCTACACCACACTCCTTACCAGTCAGGTTGTATTAAAGCTAATTTTTCTGTCTGTCCAAGGTTATATGGCCTCTCTCTCGCTTTTGTTCATTTGTTTTTTCAAGGTGATTTCTCCACAATTTAGTTATAATTCCAAATTGGCCTGGAAGGAGGTCATTGTGACTTCCATTTACTCCTCTGCCATTTTGAAACTCTCAATGATCTGTAATTTTCTGATAGCATCCTTTTTTTGCCTTTGGTATCAGGGTAATGCTAGTTTCATAAAATTAGTTTGAGAGTGGTCCTTCTTTTTGATATTATTTGGAACAGTTTAAGAAAGTCTTACATTAACTCTTTTTTAAATGCTTGGTAAAATTCATTAGTGAAGCAATCAGACCTGGGCTTGTCTTCACTGGGAGATTTCTTATTATTAATTTGACCTTCTAACTAGTAATTGGTCTATCCAGACTTTCTATTTCTTCCTGACTCAGTCTTAATAATTGTTTTGTTTCTAAGAATTTTTTCTAGGTTGTCCAGTTTGTTAACATATAGTTTTTCATACCAGCCTCCTATAATCCTTTTGACTTCTGGGGTGTCAGTTGAAATGTGTTCTTTTTCATTTATATTTTTGTTGATATGGGTCCTCTTTTCTTTTAGGATTTTATTTATTTATTTTTAGAGAAAGGGGAAGGAAAGGAGAAAGAGAGGGAGAGAAACATCAATGTGCAAGGTAAACATAGATTGGTTGCTTCTCGCAAGCACCCAGCTGGGGACATGGCCTGCAACACGGGCATGTGCCCTGGCTGGGAATCGAACCAGCGACCCTTTGTTTCACAGCTGGTGCTCAATTCACTGAGCCACATCAGCCAGGGCAGTCCTCTCTCTTTTTTTCCCCTGGTTAAATCAAGCTCTGATCTTTATTATTTTTTTCCTTCTGCTCGTTTCACTTTGTTCTTCTTTTACTAGTTACTTAAGGTATCCCAATATGTTGTTTATTTGGGGTCTGTCTTGCTTCTTAATGTAGGTGTTTACTGCTGTGAATTTCCCTCTTAGAACTGCTTTTACTGCATGCTTTTTGGTATATTGTGTTCCCATTTTTTTTGTTTCAGTGTAACTTTTTTATTTGTCTTTTAATTTCTTTTTGATGGGTCTATTTATATTTTCTGTTTGGGTTTCAGTCTTGGTAGGTTTCGTGTTTCTAGGAATTTTTTCATTTCATCTAGATTATCTAATCTGTTGGCATGCAGTTATCTGTAGTACTCATAATTATTTTTATTTCTTTTATTATTTAGAATTGATAATAATGTCTCCTTTTTTGTTTCTAAATTTGTCTTCTCTCTTATTTTCTTAGTCTATCTAAAGGTTTTATTTCATTAATCTTATGAAGAATCAATTTTTAGTTTTGTTGATTTTCCTCTATTTTAATTAGTTATTTACTTAAATCAATTTAAACTCATGGATCTTTACTTTTTTAAATTTTATTTATTTATATAGTTTTAGAAAGAGCAGAAGGGAGGAAGAAAGAGAGGGAGAGAAACATCTATGCGAGAGAGAAACATCGATTGGTTGCCCTTCACATGCACCCCAATATGGGACTGAACCTATAATCCAGGCATGTGCCCTGACTGGGAATTCAACTGACTACCTTTTAGTTTGCGGAAAGGTGCACAACCAACTTAGCCACACCAGCCAGGGCTGTTTTTAATTTTTGAGCTATAACCCACTACTGTTGTTATTTTTTGTGTTGCTCAAGTTCTCCTAGATTTGGCCATTGGAAGCCCTTTTAAGTTGAATTCTGTGTCCTTGTGATATATCCCCATTATTTTTTCTGAGCTCTTTGTTTTCAGAAACCATAGAATGTTCTGGACTCATCTTTAGATAGTATTTTTTAATGTTTTAGTACATGAAATATTTGAATTATTTTTTTGCATTTTGAATTACTTTTTTCTTTTCTTAGGTATGAAGATACATGGGCTGCACTTCACAGAAGAGCCAAGGAATGTGCAAGTGCTGGAGAGGTAAAGAATTATTGGCTAATTTTATACTTGTGGGATATGCTAGTTTTTAAGAAATTAAGTTTGTAGTTGTATTAAAATGTTTTGCAGGATATCTGAAATTGAATTTAGCAGTTGATTATGAAACTCCCTAAATAAGGCACATTTTTCAGTCAAGTAGCTTAGTTAGACTTAGAGAATTTACGACTTTTATTCTCAAGTCAAAAATAAATACTTGGTTCATCTAGGTATATAATGTTTTGAATTTGAGTCTGATGCCTTTGCATCTGTATGTAAATTATAGGTGTAATTTCTTTTTACCCACTATTTAGTAATTTCTTGCCCTGGCTGAGTGGCTCAGTTGATTGTAGCGTCATCCCATACACCAAAAGTTTGCAGGTTTCATTCCCAGTCAGGAAGCATACCTAGGTGGTAGGTATGATCCCTGGTTATGGAGCTTATAGGAGGCAGCCCATCAATGTTTCTCTTTTACATCGGAGTCTTTCTGCCTGTCTGTTTCTCTCTTCCTTCCTCTTTCTCTAAAATCACTAAATATATCCTTGGGTAAGGATTTAAAAAAGAATTTATTATTTAGACAAAAGTTTAATTTTGTCCAGCCTATCTAAAATCACTAATTTCCTGGATTAGGCCAAGATGGTGGAGGAGTAAGTGGAAACTACACTAACCTACTTCCAGGACCAAACTGGGATTATAACTAAATTATAGAAAAATCATCCTGAATAACCAACTGAACACTAGCTGGAAAGAAGCTTATAACCACGGACGGATGGGAGAAGCCACTCCACCACCATGAGACTGGTAGGGAGTGTGAAAAAGGTGTGAGAGGGCCGGCTTACCTCCCACGGGTAGCAGCTGAAGTTTTGGAGGCATATTTCAGCAGCTGGGGAGTTCCCCCTGAGGAATGTGGAATCTAAAATGCAATTTGACATCCCCAGCCTATAGCACCAGAACCAGGAAAGGAACCCAAATAACATACAGCTGTGAAAAGCAATATGGTTTCTGTCCACCAGGGAGAGACAGCGGGAGACTCAGAGTGCCTCTTAAGGTGCCAATGTGCAACATTCCGTTTGCACATCCCACTACCCTGGGCTCTGACAGAGAGAGGGCAGAGTTGACCAGAGACACTTGAGGAAAGCCTGGGGCTGTTGGCTCTGGGGGGAAAGCTGAAGGAATAGCCACCAGGATCCCTGTGCCGAGTCATTCTCCATACTACAGGTGCCATCTTTCTGAGGCAGAGCATGCCTAACCCTGCCCACAGGAATTACTCTGCCCCACATTATGGAGCTTAAGCCCTACTGCTGAAGAGTATAGCTGGATGACATTCACTGATTAACCCTACAGAAAGCCTTAAGGCAGAGGCTGATACCTGGCAGACCCTCCCCCTGACCTGGTGCTGATCAGAGGCAACCGTGGTGCATAGCTTGGTTTACGCCCAAGCCCAGCAGAGCGGAGCCACATGTTGTGAATTGCTGATAGCTTAAAACAGGTTGCCCAGAGCCAGGCGGGGTTTGATTTAGGACTACACCAGTGTCTTCCAGATCTACCTATTACATAGAAACAAATACAAAGAGGCAGCCAAAATGGAAAAACAAAGAAACAGGCCCCAAATGAGAGAACAAGAGAATTACCAAAAGAAGATGTAGATGAAATAGAGGCAAGTAATTTATCAGATAGAGTTTACAGTAATGACTATAAGGATACTCAAGAGCATGAAAGAAGACATAAAAACCACAAAAAAGGACCAGTCATAAATAAAGACCGCAATATCTGAAATAAATAATACACTGGAAGGAATAAACAGTAGGTTAGATGAAGCAGAGGATTGAATTGGTGATTTGAAAGACAAGGTAAAAAAACACCCAAGAAGAGCAACAAAAAGAAAACGGAATTTCAACTTAAGAAACCTTTGGGATAACATGAAGTGTAACAACATCCACATCATGGGAATACCAGAAGGAGAAGAGAATGAGAAAGGGATTGAGAACCTATTTGGAGAAATAATGACTGAAACTTTCTAATCCAATGAAGGAAAAAGATGTACAAGCCCAGGGAGCTCGGAGAGTCCCAGACAAGTTGGACCCAAAGAGGCCTACACCAAGACATGTGAAAATTAAAATGGCAAGGCCCAAAGACAAAGAGAGAATCCTAAAAGCTGCAAAAGAAAAGCAGATAGTTACCTACAAGGAAGCACCAATTAGACTGTCATTTGATTTCTCAGCAGAAGCATTTCAGGCCAGAAAGGAGTGGCATGAAATATTCAAGGTGATGAAAAGCAAGGACCTACAACCAAGGCTTCTTTACCCAGCAAGGCTACCACTTAAAATTGAAGGAGAGACAGAGCTTCTCAGAAAAATAAAAAGATAACACCAAACCAGTACTGCAACAGCTGTAAGAAGAAGAAGAAAAAGAAAAGGGAAAGAAAAAAAAAAAGAGGAAAATAGTCTAATACTAAAATGACACTAAATACCATATTTTGCCGTGTATAATGTGCACCCACATTTTTGGCCCAAACTATCAGGGAAAAAAAAATCTTTCATCTTAATTTTTTAATTAAATTTCTTATTTATTATATTTAGATTTTTTTGTTAATGGAATTTTAGCATTCATTTTTTAACATATGGTATGAGAAATTTTATGTAACATCATTTCAAAACATGAGAACTGATAAAAGGTACAGGATATTTTATGTATTTGTAGCCACCCATGTACACTGTGCATCCTTATTTTTCCCTCAAAAATTTGGGCAAAAGAATGTGCATTATACATGGCAAAATAAGGTATATATCTATCAGTTATCACCTTAAATGTAAAAGGCTTAAATGCTCCAATGAAAAGATATAGGGTAGAAGAATGGATAAGAAAACAAGACCTGTATGTATGCTGCCTACAAGACCCACCTCAGGTTGAAAGATACACACAGACTAAAAGTAAAGAAATGGAAAAGTATATTTCATGCAGATGGAAAGGGGGGAAAAAGCCGGGGTAACAATACATATATCCAAGAAAATAGACTTTAAACCAATGTTATAGTAGCAGACAAAAAAGGGCACTACATAATGATAAAGGGAACAATCCAACAAAAGATATAAAACTCTAGTAAACATTTACATACCCAACATAGGAGCTCTTAAATATGTAAAACAAATCTTGGTGGACATAAAGAGAGAGATCGACAGAAATACAGTCATAGTCAAGGTTTTTAACGCCCTTTTGACTTCAATGGATAAATCTTCCAGACAGAAAATCAACAAGGAAACAATGGCTTTAAATGGCACACTAGATCAAATGGATTTAATTGATATTTTAAGAGCATTTCACCATAAAGCAATGGAATATACATAATTTTCAAATGCACATGGAACGTTTTCTAGAAGAGACCACATGTTAGGACACAAAACAAAACAAGTCTTAATAAATTTAAGAAGATTGACATCATATCAAGCATCTTCTCTGACCACAGTGCTGTGAGATTAGAAATTAGTCACAAGACGAATACTGAAAAATACACAAAGACATGGAAGCTAAATAACATAGTATTAAACAATGAATGGGTCAACAAAGAGATCAAGAAGGAAATCAAAAGATACCTTGAAAAAAATGAACATGAAAACACAACAATCCAAAATCTGTGCGACACTGGGAAAGCAATCTTAAGAGGGAAGTTCACAGCATTACAGGCCTCTCTCAAAAAAATAAGAAAAAGCTCAAATACACAATCTCACTTTACGCTTAAAGGAACTTGAAAACGATCAACAAAACCCTAAGTGAGTAGAAGGAAGGCAATAATAAAGATAAGTACAGGAATAAATGAAATAGAGTTAAAAAAAAAAAAAAAGATAAAATAGATCCATGAAGCCAAGTGCTTGTTCTTTGAAAAGATAAACAAAATTAACAAACCTTTAACAAGACTCATCAAGAAAAAGAGAAGACCCAAATAAATAAAGTCAGAAATGAAAGAGGAGAAACAACAACTGACACCAAAGAAATACAAGGGATTGTAAGAAAATATTATGAACAACTATATGCCAGGAAACTGGATGACCTGGATGAAATGGATAAATTCCTAGAAACATACAATCTTCCAAAACTAAGTCAGGAAGAATTAGAGAATCTGAATGACCAGATTACACCTAGTGAAACTAAGGTAGTAATAAAAAAAAACTCCCAACAAACAAAACACTGGACTGGGTGGCTTCACAAGTGAATTTTACCAAACATTTGGATAAGAGCTAACGCCTCTCTTTCTCATACTATTTCAAAAAATTCAAGAGGAGGGAAGGCTCTGAAGCTCATTTTACAAGGCTCTCATTATCATAATACCAAAAGCAGATAAAGACACTACAAAAAGAAAAGTATAGGCCAATATCCCAGATGAACATAGATGCTAAAATCCTCAACAAAGTATTAGCAAACTGAATACAGCAATACATTAAAAAGTCATACACCATGATCAAATGGGATTTATTCCAGAAATGCAGTACTGATACAACATTTGCAGATCAATAAATATTGTTCACCACATAAATGAAATGAAGAATAAAAACCACATGATCATGTCAATAGATGCAAAAAAATCATTGGATAAAACCCAACACCCATTTATGATACAGACTCTCAGCAAAGTGGGAATAGAGGGAACATACCTAAACATGATAAAGGCCATTTATGACAAACCCACTTTGAGCATCATACTCAATGGGCAAAACCTGTAAGTGTTCCCCTTAAGAACAGTAACAAGACAGGGATGCCCACTTTCACCTGTTATTCAACCTAGTACTTGGAAGTCCTAGTCAGGGCAATCAGACAAGAAGAAGAAATAAAAGGCATCCAAATTGTAAAGGAAGAAGTAAAATTGTCTTTATATGCAGATGACACAATACTGTGCATAGAGAACCCAAAGATTCCACCACAGAACTACTAGAACTGATAAATGAAGTCAGCAAATTAGCAGGGTACACAGCTAATATCCAGAAATCAGTTGCATTCTTATATTCCAATAATGTACTATTAGAAAGGGAAACTAAGAAAACAATTCCATTCACAATTGCTTAAAAAAGAGTAAAATACCTGGGAATAAATTTAACCAAGAATGTAAAAGACCTGTACTCAGAAAATTATAAGACACTGAAGAAAGAAATTGAAGAAGATACAAATAAGTGGAAGGATATACCCTGTTCATGGATAGTAAGAATTAACATCATTAAAATGTCCATACTATGCAAAACAATTTATAGATTCTATGAAATTCCTCTTAAGATTTCAACAACATATTTCAGAGAACTAGAACAAATATTCCAAAAATGTATATGGAACCACAGAGGGCCCTGCATAGCAACAGTGATCCTGAGAAAGAAGAACAAAGTTGGAGGAATCACGCTACCTAATATCAAACTATACTATAAAAACCATAGTAATCAAAACAGCATGGTACTGGCATAAAAGCAGACACACAGATCAATGGAACAGAATAGGGAGCCCAGATATAAACCCACATTTTTATAGTCAATTAATATTTGACAGAGGAAGCAAGCACATACAATGCGCTGAAAATAGTTTATTCAATAAATGGTGTTGGGAAAATTGGACAGATACATGCAGAAAAATGAAACTAGACCACCTTCTTATATTACACAGCAAACTAAATTAAAAATGGATTAAAGACTTAAATATTAGACCAGAAACCATCAAAATCCTAGAAGAAAATATAGGCAGCAAAATCTTGGACGTAGCTCATAGATATTTTATCAGATATATCTCTCCAGACGAGGGAAACAGACAAACAAAAAAACCCCGAATGGGACTTCATCAAACTAAAAAGTTTTTGCACAGCAAAGGAAATCATCAACAAAATTAAAAGCCCACAAAATTGTATGCTTTTTATCTTCTGATAAGGGGTTAATATCCAAAATTTGTAAAGAACTTAAAAAACTCAGAACCAAAATAACCCAAACAATACAATTAATAAATGGGCAAATGATATGAATAGATAGTTCTCCAAAGAGGACATACAGATGGCCAATAGACATATGGAAAGCTGCTCAATGTCACTAATCATTAGAGAAATGGAAATTAAAACCACAATAAGTGTTATCTCACACCTGTCAGAATGGCTATAATCAATAAATCAACAACCAACAAGTGCTGGTGAGGATGTGGAGAAAAGGGAATCCTTTTGCACTGTTGGTGGGAATGCATATTCGTGCAGCCACTATGGAAAGCACTATGAAAATAACTAAAAAAATTAAAAATGGGTCTGCCTTTTCACTGAGCGATCCCACTTCTGGGAATGTATCTGAAGGAACCCAAAACACTAATTCCAAAGAACGTAAGCATCCCTGTGTTCATTGCAGCATTATTTACAATTGCCAAGACATGGAAGCAGCCCAAGTGTCCATCAGTAGATGAGTGGATAAAGCAACAATGGAACATTTACACAATGGAATACAACTTGGCCATAAGAAAAGAAGAAAATTTTACACTTTGCAACAACATGGATGGACCTGGAGAATATTATGCTAATGAGTAAAGTAAACCAGTCAGAGAAAGACAGATACCATGATTTCACTCATGTGGAATATAATGACCAAACTACCAACAAACAGAATCGAAAGAGGCTCATAGATTGAGAGCAGGATGACAGCTAGGGCGGGAGGTTGCGGGTAGGGGGTGTAGGGATTGAACACAAAAGAAAAAGGACTCATGGACATGGACAACAGTGTGATTGTTGGGGTGGCGGGTATATAAGGGGACTAAATGGTAATGGGAAAAAATACAGTTAAAAAACTCAAAGATATATGAAAACAAAAAACTAGCCCCGGCTGGTATGGCTCAGTGGATTGAGTGCTGGCCTGCGATCCAGAGGGTTGCCGATTCGATTCCCCGTCAGGGCAGGTGCCTGGGTTGTGGGCCAGGTCCCAGGAGGGGGCACTGGAGAGGCAACCACACATTGTTGTTTCTCTCCCTCTCTTTCTCCCTTCCCCTCTCTCTAAAAATAAATAAATCTTAAAAAGAACCAAAAAGGAAACTCGATTAGGAAGGCTCTTGTGGGCCACTATCATTTTAAAAAATAAATAAATAAAACAAAATACAAATTTTAAAAATATCACTAATTTCCTTAGTAAATATAAAAGTTTCAAGTACTCATTCTTAATTCACTTAAAAGAAAAATTATTTTCTAACCCTGTGTGTAGAGTTCATAATGAATAAAAAGTGATTTGTGAGAAGGTCTTTAGGATGAACCAAGTGAGATCACCAGTACTGGACCAGTTTTTACCTGTAAAATCACAATATCTTATTATTTTAGTATAGCCAATAAACATTCCAGAAAGAGAGAATAAGGGAAAGACAGTGTAGGAAAAGATAAATGGCTGGCAATTTTCCAGAAATGAGATATGTTAAACCCTAGATGCAAAAAGTACAACAAGCAAGCATTTTTATCTGTAAGTATCTACATCTAGATACCTCATATTGAGACTATAGAAAATCAGAGGCAAATCTTAGTTTCCTGATGATTGCATTATAGCCTCTCTGTGAAGACTGCTCAGTATTTTTAAAACTAGTCTTAGGGATCATTTTAAAACCGGTAGGCAATAGGCATTGTTAAGCATACAAAATTAATGAGAAAAGCAACTAGAATAAAGCTTGAGGAGGGTTGAGCCATCTCAGTTGAGGGTTGTCGGTGAGAGATGATGTGGTTATCCCTCCAATGTGGACCAAAAAACAATGGGGAGGTGTGGGGAAGGGGTACAGAATGAGGAAGGCAGCTTTCTGACCTCTTTATTGTAGCTTAATTCTTTTATTTCAATTTGTGAATCTCCTAGAATATTAAAATGTAGAAACAGTTCAGCACTACATAATTTTACAGATTATCTTGATATTTTTATTCTTCTAAAGTTCTTTTTTTTAGTGAGATTCAGTGAAAATCAGTTGTGTTCATGTTTCAACTTGTGAAGACTCAGTCTTTCTTAATCTTTGGGTGTATAAATTGTCTTTTTTTACTGTAACTCAACTGTAAACTCTGATTTAAATATAAATTCCAAATGCATTTTTCCTGTTATATAATTGATTTTGTGATCTTTATATTTATTGTACTAATGTGTGGTATCCTCCACAAATCTTGCTTATCATTGGTAATTTTTTCAAAAGATGATCTTTCCTTGATCCTTTTGAATATTATTCTAGCCTCTTTCCCCTCCCACCATGTTAAGACAAAAACAAAGTTGTCTGGGAGAAACAGATGTCTGTCATTTTCTTCACAGTCTTCAGGAAGAGAAGTTAGAATTATTTTAGGCTAGTCTGGTGTCTCACCACCCTGCTATTAGGAATCCTTTATAACTGAATTACTTCTTTGTCAACATAAATCCTATTTTCTTTTTTCTGGAATTGATCAGTTGCCTCTATAATTTCTTTATACACAAGTACCATTTACTTTCTGAAATAAGTGTTCCTGTTAAATGTAAATTGAATCAGAGTATATTCTAAATGCATTAGGGGACTTTTTTGTTAAAAGAAATCCTTTTGTAAACCAAATAATTACCCAGTAATTATGTTTTGGGTTGTTTTTGTTTGTTTTCTTTTCAGTTGTTAGTGGTAGTTTTTTGTTTTTCTAGATTTGGATTTTCAAATACAGGGTTTACTTAAAAACAGGGTATACTTAAAAGTGATTTCTAAGGTCATCTCTGAACTCTCTTCTCTGGGTTAAGATGCACTGAGACAAGCAGTAATTTGAGGTTTTCGGTACTGAATATTGAGTTGATTGTTTTCTAAGGAAGAAAACAACTTCAGTCTTCTTTTGAGTGTCCTGTCGCTTTTAGTCAATAGCGGGGGTCTTTAAAGATTGACCAGCTCTCATTACACTGCCTACGATTTCTTTGTGCTTAAAGTCTGGTTTTACTGTACCCTTCCTCTTCTGTGTTGCAGCTGGTGGACAGCGAGGTGGTTATGCTTTCAGCACACTGGGAAAAAAAGAAGACAAGCCTAGTAGAGTTACAGGAGCAGCTTCAGCAGCTTCCAGGTTTGATAGCGGATTTAGAGTCCATGACAGTAAATTTGAGTAAGTCTTATGCTCATGTTTCTGCATTACCTTTAGAAGTGAAAATAATTTGGACTGGACTTGGTGTAATTTCAAAGCTTTCTAAGAATATGTTAAATTATTTGTTGACAGGATATTTTGGAAAATAGTAAGTTTGAGTTAATTTCATATTCTGTTTGAGGATTAGACAAATGATTCAAGGTGTAGACATGATTTCTAAAATATACCAATATTGTTTTCTGGCTCTCTTCAGCTCAGGAAACAATTATAATGTTTTTGATCCTTAAAATGACTTAGGGTTGTCTTTGTGACGTTTGATCTCTGTTTAAATGTATACATATAGAAAATAAAAGGGATTAGGGTGATTTTGTCCTGACTCCAGTATATACTCTGGAAATTGTTGCTTTTAAAACTGGTATGCTTTTTTTCCTCTGTGAACTGAAAAGAGAGCAAACAAATCCAGTTAAATGTGGGTACCTGTTTGGCTAAATTTATACCTTATGGAAGTTTATAATTTTTTTGTGGTCTTTTCTATTGTGATGAATTATGCTGATATTCTTTATTTCTTATGTTTATATTTAGATAATTAACTTTTATGTTTCACATTGCCATATTGTAGGATAATATTGTGGCTTACTATTTTCTAACCAAGCTTGAGGTCTTAGTGTAGTAAGGGTTAGGCACTATCTGCATAGGAAATAAATTTCTTAAGCTAATAACCTAATCTGGTTTTATGGGTAAGAAGGTAGGAATACCCTATCATCTCTTCCTGTTTTTCAGTATTACTTTTTTAAAAAACTGAAACAAAAATAATTTACAGAACAAGTAATTAGTAAATCCTAAAACAGTTTGTTCTGTGTGAATAAAGTTACCTGAATGGTATTTGGGATGCTGTTGCTGGTAACAGTAGCTAATATTATGGCAGCTACACAGGTCGTTATTTGCTTTACAAATGTTATTTTTAATCCCCCTGAGAACCCTACAAAAGTAGTTTTACTTTTCTGCTTTACATTAAGGAAAGTAAGGCTGGGAAGATGTTGTGACTTGCTCAGGGCCACATAAGATACGGATCCAGGATCCTAACCACAATGATGATGTTCCAGTGGGGTATGACGGTTCTGAGTAGGCCTCATGAACTGTACTCATAAAGCCCCGGCTGTTACAGTTTTTTTCTGGTGTTGGTGATTTATTATTTCTGAAGGCAGGGTGTGGAAAAGATATCCTGGGTCTTAAGAGAAATGAGAAATACCTGTGGTTGCCCTCTGCTTTTTTTCGCCTTGTGGATGTAGGCATGATCCGTCTCAAGCCTTTGAGAAGGCTTGACGGAAAAAGAGCTTCCAGGGTACTTTGAATTTTCTTTTCAGCCACTTTTTTTTTAGCTTTTGTTCCTTGCTTTTGAGTTGCTTGCTTTTCATTGGTTGTATATTTCTTTGCAGACATATTCTTCTATAACCTCCCCTCTTTTTTTTTTTTTTTGCCAGCTTAGAGTAAGTTCTGTTTAGAGATGTTCTTTGTTTGATACCACTCTGCTGATTAAATGAATTGTACCATGATCTAATTATTTTTCATAGAAATTTCTGCTTAGGAAATGGAGTTTACATATGTCTTTCTTAAAATAGAACATATTATATTTTCATTCGCAGTTACGACTCTCATATCCTGGAAAGGTTTGATATTTAGTGATATGTGACCTTCCTTTTTAGAAAACTGCACCATGTCTTCTTAAATGAAGGGGGTGGGCTCCCAAATGCTTACTTGGATTCTCTGTCTTTGTTAATCTGAGGACATTGACCACCAATGGCAAATTAAAGCTAAAGGATTTTCTGAACTACTATTCTGGGCAGATAATCACTTCCAGATAATTTAAATCATATTTTTCCTAATCTATGTCTAATATATCTAGAGCTTTTTGGAGAGTTAATTTGGTTTTCTGAAAAGATACCTCTAAAATCTAGGTAGTTGGTTTTTATATTTATTGCCAATCTGAATATAGTTGGCATTTGAAACACATGCTACCTTCGTGTCTTAATCTATTGCCATTATTTGCCTGATACTTATATTTAGTACTGACTGATTAGAAGATTGCAAGTCAGAACTGGAATTCAAGAGGCCTATTATGACCTAGAATAAGCTCATAGGGAGGTGTTTTGAAATTGTGACTTTTAGATAAGCAACTTAAGCTTCTTAAAATTAGTACTGATATTCTTTACAGGAGAAAAATATTTTGAAGCCTAATTTGGTGGAATAGTTTGTATATCCATATCATTAATGTATTTTATGAATTCATTTTAGTGAATTTATGCATCATTCTTAGGTACTAGAAGTATTTAGTGTTTTAAATTGTTTGCTCAAATACTAAATCCTTTTGTTTTTTGGTAGTCTCAAAATATCTCTTATCACCTGAATACCTTGATACAATATCACGAGCCTTAGTCAAGAAATAATAAAAAATAAATTTTTTTTTATTTTTTATAAAAAAAATAAAAAATAAAAAATAAAAAATAAGTAGTAACTGACCGATATTTAGTCACAGTATTCCCTTAAATTCTTTGAACTTTTTACCTTTTCACTGTTGTATTTAATACCATATCCAATCAGTCCCTCTATCTGCTAGGCTACTTAACTCTTAGTTTTGTTCGTTTTCTAGAGAGTGTGCTCTTATTGAAGAATAAAGGCTTTATATGATGTGAGCAGTTTGAACCTTTGGTGATGCTTAGCTGCATTATTCTGTGGCTTAAATATAGCACCTTTTTTTTTGTATCTGTTTTTAACCAAAGAAAGGATAATCCATTCATTGTTTTATTTTATTTTATTTTTAATTAACGGGATATGCTCCATCAAGCTTATAATAGATAAGCTTGTAAGATATCACTTGTAATAGATAATTGCTGGTAAATCTTGTCCTTTTTTTTTTTTTTTTTTTTTTTTTTTAAGATAAAAGTATGCTGGGAAGTGGAAAATGAGGGCTATGAACTAACGTGCAGATCTAGGTTTGGATCCCAGTTCCACAACTTCCTTTCTGTGAGATGCCATGCAGGTTTTATTTTAATCTGCTCCAAGCTTTAGTTTCTTCATCTACAGAATGAGGATGAGAGTACCTGCCTCACTGGGTGTTTGTAGAGTTGAAGGACAGATGTAAAGCACTTGGCACGGTGCCTGGTGTCTGTTGGGTGACATGTGCTGTTTGTGGGCTCTGGGGATACAGTGGTGAATAAAACTGCCCCTGCCATTAAGATGCTGACATTCTAGTGGGAGTTTCTGTAGCCTTTACGGTTTTACAAATCTGTTCTTTGACAGAGGGCTTGATGGTATGTTATGCAATTTAGCTTGCCCTGCAAAATAGTTTAGAATGCATGAAATGTGATGAAATAAACAATGTAGTCCTCTGTACATTGAAAGATAATGTGTAAGAATAAATAGAATGTTGTCACCAGATTCTGTATACGTTGTCAATCTGTGTAGTTACCATAGTGTATGTTGTATCATAAAACTACTAAAATGTTTGAAAAGTATTTATTGAATTCTCTTAAACTTCCACTAGAGGGTAGTCTAATCCTATTCCTTTATTGAAGTTTAAAAATATCAAGGGCCTGTCTGAATTTTCTCCATTGCTTAATTTTTTTGTGACCTACTTTAAAAAGACTGTTACCTTCGTCTACAAGAGAAGATTCTGTTAGTTCTTAGATAACAAAGTGCTGTAAAAAAAATGACAGCCAGCCCTGGCCAGTGTGACTAAGTTGGTTGGGTGTTCTACAGGCTGAAAGCTCAATACCCAGTCAGGGCACATGTCTGGATTGTAGGTTTAGTCCCCAGTTGGAGCATATGCAGAAGGCAATTGATTGATGTTTCTCTCTCACATTAATGTTTCTCTCCCTCTTTTTCTCCTTCCTTTCCCCTTGTTCTGGAATCAATAAAAGAAAAAACAATCTTAAAAAAAGAAAAGAAAAGAAAATGACACCAATATATTGAATTTGTAGCTTTTTAAAGACTATGACCTATCTCATTGTTCTGCTTTTGTCTGCACAGAATTTGAGAGAGTGTCCAGCAGAGAGACTGTCACAGCTCTCTCTCGGTGTTCCATGAACTAGATTCTTTTATTTTCCAAGTTACTTTCTGAGACTAGACATTTCCAGAAGCACATTAACTCTCTTTAGATGTCTTGTAGTATACTACATGATTTAATTTGTTTTGTAATGGCTTTGCAAGTTAATTCACTTAGTGTCGTATCATCCTTACTGTATTAACTTATTAGGTAAAAGAGTGATGTAAGCATTTGAAGAATCTTGTGGTCTCTTAGTACCTGGCCTCTATGACCTATGGATTTGTAATCAAAGAAGATTTCTTTGTTTCTTGAGGCTAATTATTTTTGTTAGAAAAGTACTCATTAAGTGTGAAATTATTAGTTTTAGGGTGCTGCTTCATTTCCATATATTAGTGAAAATTACACTACATATAATATGTATTTGAAACAAATGGCACAAAGAAAAATTCCAAACAGAATCGCCCTTCCTCTGGGACAGTCTTCTCACAAAGATTTGTGAAACTCTTTCCTGCACAGCTGTCAAGGCATTCCCAAATGGCTTTTCATGGTAAAACTCCACCGATCTTTTCCACTGATCACTAAATGAGACATATGCTGTTGTTACAGTGAGCAAAATGGTGAGACCTGAGCTTCTTATAAAGGTGTATTTATGTCCATGGAGGCCTGCTAGTGTTTTATGTACCTGCATTCTAAGTTTGATTACCAAATTTACTCATATATGCAACTCATTTTGTAATAGGTAATGAGCAGGCTGTGACAGGGAAATTAAATTTATGACCATTAAATTAAAATCCAATATAAAATATTCAGAATGTATTGCACATATGTGCTTGTAATTATTTAAATTTTAAAAATGTCAAAGTTTTTAATGTATAAAGGGAAGAAAATTTGCTTTTGTCAGTACAATTCTTCTATGTTTTATTACTGATCCAAGCCGGTTGAGAGTTAAAATGGAAAATTCCCATTGCTTCTACTGTTT